GAGGCGGATGGAGTTCCCGATGTTGACGGACTACTTGAACGGTCGGTACGGTAGGAGAGTGATGACGAAGTGGTGCAGCTGGTCCAGCAGCTCCGCCAGAAGGGCTGGTTTGCTCACCCCAGGACTAAGCCTTGGAGAGGACGGCGCAGGTCCGTCCTCTCTTTAAGGCTTAGTTCTGAGGTAAGCATCAAATTGTGGCGGTTTTAAGGACCGAGTTGAAGTGGTCCGTCACCGTCGGGGACCCCATCCCCTCCCCAACATTCAGCATACGGCCCCAGCAGAAACGCCAAAAGGGCTGGTTTGCTTACTTCCTTGACCAGCTGCATTCTCCAACCCAGACCAACCATACCTCCTATCCCTGCGAGTACGATTGAGTGGGTGATTCCTGTCAAAATGTGAAGGATAAGCGTCTAATACATTATGTTCTTTATCGTTCCACCTTAAGGAGCAAAAGTGGTGGGAAAATTCTCTGTTTACCACACGCACGGTCCAGGGGCTTCCCGTGGATTGCGCGCCGTCCGGTCAATCAAGCGTTCCTTCCTGCCACGGTCGGTAGTTGGCACCAGACAAGACTAGGAGAATCAAAAAACTAATTTGAACCTCAGGTTGCCTTTACGAGTCACTCTTTGGCAAAATCGCATTCGAGTTGCGGCTATGATTCTGAATAGAAATAGAATGCGTGGCTCATTCCAAAAAGGCTTTCATACCCTTGAATGCACTATCCTTTTTATCTTCCCTGTTAAGGAAACCCCGGTGTGAAGATTCCGCTTGACGAAGAAAGGCATCAACCATCTCAAGACGGTCGGTGTACGGTTGCTGAACGAGCAAATCGCGTCACTCACCGGTTACTCAACCCAGTTCGCCATCTCACAACCCGGGATTGAAGGACTTGTCACATTGAATGATGTACGAGTGCTGCACTATAACCCACCACAGGTAATCTAGAAATGTTGGCCAAATTACTGTACTGCTCAGTCCTTTAATATGTACTACTTTTCAGGTATCTGTGGTCAATTTCCTTGCCACCTCGTTATGTTATTCTGGGACTGGAGAACATGGACATTTCGTAAGTTCCGAACAAATGTCCTCCAATCAAATTCAGTGACCTATATTTACCCTTCACGCGTGGTCATGTGGTGATTTGTTCACATTTTCAGGCTCGCTGGGGCGTTTTATGGCTCGGGCGGTCCGTTTCAAGTGCAGGGATTCGTCGACGGAAGCATTGTTGGAATGACAGTCGCGCTGACCACGGAATTTTCAACCAGTGCAGACGGCATGATGAGCGTCCAGGTAGATCATTACCACGGTTCACAGAAAATTCATCG